GACGTCAACACACTCCTGCCCTTGCCCAACAACAACGACCAAGACACCAGCGACGGCGATAGCGAATGTGGAGACCGAGTCGTGACTGCCCTCCAAGCAGCGGCTCGAGAGAACTACGAGGACATCATCGAGCTCTTGCTAGAAGCCCATGCCGACCTGCATGCACCCGGCAACAACACAGCACTCTGGTGGGCAGCAGCAAAAGACAGCACACACGCACTGCGAACACTGCTACACGCACGCGCCGAGCCAAACAACACAAACGCACGCAACGAGACAGCACTTCTCGAGGCAGCTTGGAGAAACCACGACATCGCCGCCAATTTGCTCATCCAAGCCCGTGCCAACCTCGAGTCCCGCGACAACCATGACAGAACAGCCCTGGTCGCTGCCTGCATAGCAGACAGCCAGGATGTTGCGATCTCCCTCCTCTGTGTTCGTGCAGACTTCATGCAGCTCATCCAGCACGAAGACACAACGCCAGTCATCAAAACAACCGCAATGTGCGCGGCGGCCGCTGCAAACCATCTCGACGCCCTGGAGGCTCTGCTCGAAGCCGACGCATGCATCGACGCCGCCGGCGACAGCCAGGTAACTCCGCTTTGGCACGCTGCAAAGGAAGGCATCGCAGAAGCCGTTGAGCTGCTCCTGCGCCGCAAAGCCAACCCGAATGCGGACAACTACGCCATGCCGGAAAGAGGAAGTGCACTGTGCGCAGCAGCGTCTCGCGGACACAATGCGGTGATCACACTCCTACTGGCGGCCCGAGCAAACCCAAACTTCCTTTGCAGCTTCAACGAGACACCTCTGATAAAAGCATACATGTACGGCAAGGCCGACACCGCCCGACTGCTGCTGCACGCAAAAGCCGACTTCGGCCGACCCTCGCCACATCAGATGTCCCGCCGAGACACGGACCGCATGCAGGCCACCATGCACCGATGGGCACAGGATCTGCTCCCGAGCAAGGCAAAACGACAGAGACCAGAAGGCAAACGAGTCAGCTGGTGCCTAGGTCCTTTCGCCCGGCAAGCACGGCGAAAACAAAGAATGCCGAGCACCAGACGTGCTCACAAGAAACAGCGAACCGGGCGAGACGACAACAAGCGTTCGCCCACCTCAGCCGCCAACGCCTTTGAAGTTTCACACTGAGCCATTCGGGCACGGACACTCCCAACAGCGAAAACATGCTCGGTGCGCTTCCAGAACTCAAGCCTACAGTGAGTCCACAGTAGATCAAAGCCATCACCTGCTTCTACGTACGCAAGCCAACGTAAAGCCCCTTCCCCAACCCCAGCTCTCTGCATGCACAAACCACCGCGCCGCAGCATTACATTTCAAGTCCGCAGATGTGCGCGACACCACACCGCAACGCCACATGCAACAACAGCAACAACACACCTATAGAAGCCTACAAACAGCTACCGCAATTATGTGTGCCCACGACACCAGTCACCAGACTAGACTTGCCGAAGCCATGGCCGGAGCCGTCCCGGCCCGAAAGAAAGCGCCGCGACTCAAGCCAGGCAACTTCGCTCGCCGAACTCGGCAGAAAACTTCCGCCCTGCATCAGCTTCGGATCTGCAAACTGAGCGGCGAGGTCGTAGCTCACACAGACGCGCACCGACATCAGACGCTGCTGAGCCTGCTCACATGCTTGGAGCCCACGTGCGGCGTGTCCAAGCACAGGATCAGACTACTCCAAGACGGACACGTGCTTCAACGGGACGTCAGTCTACAAGCCTCCGCGGCCCTCGACTTGCAGGTGGTCCTCCTGCCGTACATGCAATCCAACAACGAAATCGCCCGAAGCTTCCGAGAGGCTCTCCACGACCAAGACACGGTGAAATTGGAGAACTTGCTTTGGCAGCCCGTCGATCCAAACACGACCTTTTCCCGATACCTCCCGCGTCCCATCACCGCGCTGGAACTTGCACTGCTGAACCCAGGACCGCTCACCAAAACGATGCTGTCCACGCTGCTAGAAGCCAAAGCAGCTCCCGATCGACCCGAAAACCAAGGGGTGCTCTGCATGGCGCTGGAGCGCGAAGAAGAAGATTGCGTGCAACTTCTTCTACGACACCGAGCCGATCCAAACAGGTCCAGCAACCGGATCACGCCCATTGACATAGCCTGCCAACGTTGCCACCAAACCATGTCCTTCCAGTACCGAGAGCCCAGAACGGCAGTCATGCTGCTGTCAGCAGGAGCAGACGTGCAGCCCATGCTTCGAGATGCCAACAGCTGGACCATGCAATCAACCCCCAAAGATTATCTCGATTACATGCACCCTCGCACGCTTGCCAGCACCGTCTCCTTGGTGCGTGCCGCGGCGACACTCTCAACGCCCACAGTCATGCGGCAGATCATCGAGGCGGCGAAATGCGCAAACGTTTGCATCATGCCCGCCTGCCTGTGCAGCGCAGCCCACAAAGGCAACGAGGACGCGGTGCGCTGGCTTCTGGGCGCACGCGCCGCGGTGGACTCCCACATCTGCCACTTCGTGCTAAGCGGGGCTCACAACCTCCTCTTCAGCAACCATAAACGCCGCACGGCCCTCGCTCTGGCTGCAAGAAGAGGTCATCATGCCACAGTGAACGTGCTGCTCGAAGCCAGAGCAGACCCGAATAAGAGACTGGACGGGCAGACGGCCTTGTTGCAAGCCGCAGCACACGAAGCTCCCGAAGCTGTGGTGCGTTCAATCTTGAAAGCAGCCGCAGAAGTGAACCAGGAAGACAGCTCGGGCCGCACGGCTCTCAGACTAGCATTGCTTTCCAGAAAGGCACCAGATGTAGGCGTGGTGCAAGCACTGCTGCGAGCCAAAGCCGACAAGCAACACAGAGACCACTTCGGCAAGACCATATTCAGCATCGCAGCTCAGAGACTCGACAACGCAATCCTGAGCCTGATGATGCAAGACAATTAATGCGATGCAGCCGTGACCGGGACAAAGACAGGAGCAAGAGCAATCAATTGTGTGGACCCACCTGGCAAACCCGGATCTCAATCCCTGCACAAGCCGAACAGTGCACAGGTCTAGCTTGCATGAGTCGCGCTGCAGATGCAAGACGTGTACAGTGAACCGACGCGGTGTCAAACACCCGCAACATGCATGCTCGCAAGCAAAAGCAGGGAAAACGAGCCCGCCCTGGCATTCAGAGCCGTTGCCAGCCAGCTAGCTTGTGCAGTCGTACAGCACAGCAATCATGCGACGGCACAGCCATCGACTCCGCCGCCACGACAGACCGAGTCTCGAGTCTCAGGCTGCTGCACATATACATCCCTCTCCAGAAAACAACGTTCGACCGTGCTCCGGTGCGAGCCTCAGACACGCCGCCTCCCGCCACAATCGTCACAAGTAACCTTCCACAGCATTCCCACAACCCCTGCTATGCCGAGGTCGATTGACGCGACAACCATGTCCGATGACATGGACGATGACTTCCAGGGCGCAAACCACTTGATCGGCAGCGCCGACCAGGCGAACTACCAGGACGAGTTCGACGATTGGGACTGGCTCGAACAAGAGATGCAGCGCGAAGCCGAGGAAAACGAACGTGAGAGAGAAGCGTGGAACAAAGAAATGAAGATCCAGATCGCGTACAGCAAACGCCTTGCAAACATGACGGTGAAGTACATGAACACGAAGAGCGAGGAGATTCACGCCTCAAAGCCCTACCCGTCATGCCAGCTCGATTGCGTCTCGTTCCGCGAAGCATGGCTGGAGACCCTACACGAAGGCCACAACCCCGATCGATATCTGTCCCTACACCAGCTACGTGATAGACGACAGAGAACCAAGAAACCCTTGCGCGCAGAAGTACTACAGCATCGCAGTCCCAGAGAAGTCTTGCTGCACGACTTGGACAGCAGTCGCATTGGACCGATCAGCCTGGATGCAACAGAACTGACGTTAGACGGAAGGATGATCACGGACTCCTGGAACTGGAGAGACTTCCTGCAATGCAGCGGCAGCAACGGAACCGTCCACGTGCACATTGTCTCCCCCGCTGACAAGCAAGCCGCTGGCCAATAGTGCCAGAGCTTCAAATATGAGCCACATCTGCTGCTGCCTCGAAGATACGCGCGAAGACAAGGCAGAACATGCCCAGCACTGCAAGAGGAGAAAAAGGGTCGAAGTCCCACGCACCCAAAAGACGTCCGGTTGCCTGCCCACACACACACACACACAGAAAGCTGACATCGCTTAGCACACAACTGCCAACCCAGCTGCCTCGCAGCCATTTCAGATCAAAGCACACACCTGCCAAGCAAGACCCTCGCCCAATGGTGCTCTCAAGCAAAACTGTCACGATCTACATGGCAGCATCCGGCAACAAGATAGCCGACATAGAGTTGGGAGAAGGACAGCGCCGCCTCCAGGACGTCGCCATACAGCTGCAACCGCAAGTCAACGCAACACGCTTTCAGCAGCGGCTGCTCCCCGACGAGGACCGCGACGAACTCCACGGCAGACAAGTCCTGGACTCGGACACCAACCAGCTGTTCCTGATCCTGCTTCCCTACATCGACATCTGCCAAAACGACGAAGCGGAACTGCTTGACGCAATCGAAGAGGGAAATACCACGAAAGTCGAGGCCATTCTCCACCGGCCACAGCATCCCGATCAGACTGCCTGCCAGGACTACCAGCCAACGGCCCTCGTCCTCGCAGCACACAACAACCACACGGACATCGTCGACCTTCTCCTAGAGGCAAGAGCAGACGTCGCACGACGGAGCAACAGCCGGGCTCTGCTCGAAGCAATCTGGAACGAGAACTTCCCAGTAACGGAAATGCTGCTCGCTGCAAGAGCAACGCCGCATCCACAACCAGAAGACGAAAGCACGCCCTTGCAGGAAGCAGTCGTGGCACAAAACTGGGACATCATGTCCTTGCTACTGGAAGCAGGAGCCCGGCCAAACGATCGCGATCAGGAGGGCAACACGGCATTGCACTTCGCGTGCGATCAACCCTACATCCAGCCCGTCCTCACGCTATTGCAATACCGAGCCAACCTCGAGGCCACAAACGACGACGGAGAGACGCCAACGGCCGTCGCGCAAGCAGCGGCCGCCATGCGCGATCTCGTGCTCGGTACCTGCCGAGGACCAAGCGCCCGCCACAACATGTCCGGGATCCGCGAATCCAGCGACACCGACGAGGAAAACTCCTGGGAATGCGAATCTCAAGAAGACGAGGATGACTGAAAGCCGGCGCTGTCAAGCCCTCGAGAAACATCACGTCTCAAGCACATTCCGAGAAAAAAGATCGCTGCTTGCAAGGAAGCACAGATCAAATCTCGACAGCACACAAGAGCTGCACCGACGAACACATCCATGACCTGCAATGCCTAAGTCACGCACGCCGCATACATAGATAGCACGGACAATCCAGTCAACTTGCTCGCGCCGCCACGCGAAGCTTCCGCCGGTCGTTTCGGATTACAGACACCTTTTGCCTCGCTAGGGAGCCTGCACGCCACATGAAGCAAAGCTCTCAGACACAGACACCAGATGGACCACATGTCGTTTAAAACCCCACAGCCTCCATCGATCCGGCTATAAGAACGCGTGCCCGAGGTCCGAGAGCATCTGTAGAAACTGCCGAGAAGCCATGAAACAGATCTCGACCGGCGCCCGAGCCCCGACACCCGGGCAATTCGCTCGACGAACGCTGCAGAAGACCTCACCGACAAGCCCTCTGCGCATCTCGAAGCTAAGCGGAGAACTCCTGACCGAAACGGACGCACGGCAGCATCGAACAGTCGAAGATCTGCTCACACACCTCGAGCCGTACTGCGGCGTTCCCAAGCGAAGGATCAGACTACTGCACGCCGGACACAAGCTGCGAAGAGGAAAGCTGCGCGTGGGTGCTACGGCCGACATGCAGGCGATCATCATGCCCTACATCGAGATGCTCGAAGGATCGAAGGAAGCCGAAGATTTCCGTATCGCACTATGGGAGAGGCA